GGCCTTCACGGCAAGCTTACGTGACTGTTTCTTCAAGTACATGATCAATGCCAACACTTGGAAGACTTACTCTGAGGTGATGGCACAAGCTTACAACCATGCCTCCACCGAGGCAATGACATATCAAGGGAAACCCCCTACAGTCACCCTTTATCAGCAAGTAGGGAGTGGAGGCCAGATCCAACCGAATGAGAAGACCTCAACCTTCCAAACGGTAGCAGTACACCCCCTGCCTCATTTAATGCTTCGCCAAGTCAGCAGACATATCAATCCCAGGGAAAAATGAAAGATTTCCATCCTCGCCAATCTCATTTTAATAAAAAGAATAAGGGGCACTATCGTGATAACTCAGGATATCGTCACAATAACGCCCGTCCCTAACAGTCAACGCAGTGGGCCAATCACGTGTCAAGACAGGCCCTACCCCGAGGTATGAGACATACACACCTTTGAACGCTACATGCGCGGCCATCTACCCCAGTATAGCTCACCTGATACCAAAGCCAAAGCCAAAGCCAAGACAACCAGATTACAAGTCCACGAAGAACACGGGCATGTTTTGCTGCTACCACGAGTATAATGGCCATGATGGCGAGAAGTGCATCATCCTCCGTGATCATATTGAAGCTTTGGCACGTGAAGGAAAAATTGATCAGTTCCTCTTTCACCCTCCAAGGGATAACCGTAACCAACGCTAGGTGAATGTGATATATTCCATAAGCGGCGGCACACCCATGTCTGAATCTTCCAATAGGGCCATGAAAAATAGTGAACGAACTTTAAGACCTGGCCATCAAGTGTTTCACGTGGAAGATATCAGGGGAGGCAAGTATCAAAAGCCTAACTGGGATCCAATATGTTTCTACCCTGAGGAAGAAAGAGGTATCATCTACCCTCACAACGATCCGCTGATCATGAAGGCTCACATAGCAAATTTTGATGTGAAACGAATCCTGATAGACACAGGTGCTTCAGTCAATATCATGTTTGCTGAAGCTTTCAAGGCACTTAATGTAGCTGAACACTTGCTCGATCGCTCGATTTCTCCTCTGATAAACTTCTCTGGCGATATCGTGCAACCTTTAGGAAGTATACACTTACCCCTCACCATTGGTACAGGCCCCTACACAGCTACTATTACCACTAACTTCCTAGTGGTCAATTGCCCGACGGCATACAATGTCATCTTTGGGCGCACAGGGATCAATGATCTCAAGGTCATGGTATCCACACATATGTTTTTTATGAAGTTTCCAACCCCTTTCGGCAATGGATACATCAGGGGAGATCAATTTAGTGCTCGATCATGTTACAACACTTCAGTTAAGCAACAACACCTGCCTGTCCCCAAGGAGACCCTCTCTATACATAACCAAGTAGTAAAGACCAGTCCAGATGAAGCCAACTCGGATCTTCATGATGGCAACAGTCAACCCGAAGACCCTCGAGATGACTCATTCACCCAGCAAGCACAACCCGCTGAAGAGTTAGAGAAGGTCTCTATCTCCAAAGACCATCCAGATCGCATGGTGAAGATTAGCACCACTTGGTCACCACCCCTTCGGTTGTCGTTGATCTCCTTTTTGCAAAAGAACGCCGAGGTCTTCGCTTGGTCATATAAAGATATGATGGGCATCTCTCCCGATATCATCTGTCACCACTTGAGTATTGATCCCAAGACCAAACCAGTAAAACAGAAGCGAAGATCTTATGATGTTGAACGATACGAGGCGATGAAAGCAGAAGTTGAAAAACTCAAGGACATAGGCTTCGTCCGTGAAGTCAATTACCCAACATGGGTAGCAAATGTTGTCCTTGTTAAGAAAAATCCGACCAAGGAAAGTCTCCTGCTTCAAAAGGTCTTGTGGAGAATGTGTGTCGACTACACCGACCTAAACAAAGGATACCCGAAGGATAGTTTCCCCTTTCCTCTCATTGATAGACTTATATAGACTCTACGACAGGGTGTGATCTCTTGAGCTTCATGGACGCTTATTCAGGATACAACCAAATCTTCATGAACCACTCAGACCAAGAACACACAGCCTTCACTACTGACAGGGGACTATATTGCTACAAAGTCATGCCCTTCGGTCTAAAGAATGCAGGGGCAACTTATCAGAGGCTAGTTAATTCAATGTTTACCGAACAAATTGAGAAAAGCATGGAAGTTTATGTTGACGATATGTTAGTCAAGAGCAAACATGTCGACCAGCATATCACCAACCTATATGAAACCTTCACCATTCTGAAGAGGTATCGAATGACGTTGAACCCCAACAAATGTGCCTTCGGCGTGGGCTCTGGCAAATTCTTAGGCTTCATGATTAGCCAACGAGGCATTGAAGCTAACCCCGAAAAGATCAAAGCAATCCTTGACATGAAAGAGCCAGTAACTTCAAAAGACATCCAAAGCCTTACTGGCAAGGTGGCAGCCTTAACCAGATTCGTCTCTAAAGCCACGGACATATGTTCTCCTTTCTTCAAAGCACTCAAGGGAAATAAGAAGTACATTACATGGACGGATGAATGTGCCAAGGCATTCAAGAACCTCAAAGAGTACATGAGTAAAGCCCCTCTGCTCTCCAAACCAGAAGTTGGTAACTCTCATTATCTATCTATCGGTTTCGACTTCAGCAGTCAGTTCTATTCTTATTCGAAAGGACAGTGGTGTCGAACGGCCCGTCTACTACGCTAGCAAGGCCCTACAAGATGCGGAGACACGATACTCCAACATTGAGAAATTAGCTCTAGCATTGGTCATGTTTGCTCGAAAACTTCGCCCTTACTTACAAGCACACGCCATCATCGTGCTTACCAATCACCCTCTTCGACAGATACTCCAGAGTCCTGACACGTTTGGGTGAATGATCAAATGGGCGATAGCATTGGGTGAGTTAAACATCTCCTACCAATCAAAACCAGCCGAAAAGGGTCAAGCAGTCGCAGATTTCATCGCCGACTTCACATATCATGTTGACATTGCTTCTACACCTGAAGCAGTAGCTTCATTACCATCGGAAGCTCAGAAGATAGAACCAACAACCCCAGCATGGAGTCTGTATGTTGATGGCTCATCCAACCAACAAGGCTGCGGAGCAGAATTAGTCCTCACTACCCCTGACAAAGTGGCGATAAAATACGCTCTTCGTTTCAAATTTAAGGCATCGAACAACGAGGCCGAATACGAAGCCCTTCTAGCAGGCTTACGTTTGGCCAAGCACCTTGGGGTTAAACAAATTGATATCTTCAGTGACTCCCAATTAGTGGTCAACCAAGTCACGAACAACTTTAATGCTAAGGATAGCTCCATGGCAGCATATCTTGCGCAAACATGACTTTTGCTCAAGCACTTCCGCTACCAGATCACCTAAGTTCCTCGAGCGGCAAACAGTCATGCAGACGCTTTGCCTCGCCTCGCCTCGACAGTGGAAGACAAGATTGGGAAAAAAATTCATGTCGAATTGTTGGCAGCACCAAGCACCATGGTCGAAGAAGTGTGCAATTTACAACAAGGAGATAGTTGGACACCCCAATTTATAAATTCCTTGCTCATGGCATCCTCCCAAATGACAAAGTCCAAGCTAAGCAGATTCGATACAAGTCTGCCCGCTACCTGATCATTAACGACCAACTCTACAAGCGCGGTTTTACCTTGCCATACCTAAGATGCCTTACACCTGCGGAGGTGGAAATTGTCCTTCGGGAAATACATGAAGAAGTCTACGGAGATCATGCTGGGTCTCGATCCCTAGCACACAAAACTTTTCGCCAATGATATTATTGACCAACACTCCACCAAGACGCCATCACAATATCTCGCTCATGTGATAAGTGTCAACGCTACGCAACTATCCCTCACTCCCCTCCCGAGCCGCTCACTCCTATGATCAGCCCTTGGCCCTTCGCCCAATGGGGACTTGATTTGATCGGCCCAATGCCTGCAGGGAAGGGCAAGGTCCGCTATGCAATCGTTGCAGTTGACTACTTCACAAAGTGGGCTGAAGTAGAACCCTTGGCAACCATTACTGAGGCAAAAATAGAAGACTTCGTATGGAAGAACATCCTCTGCAGATTCGGCATTCCCAATGCGATAATCACGGACAATGGGTGGCAGTTCGACAACAAGAAGTTCATGATGTTCTGCTCTAAGTTCAACATCAACTTATGTTTTGCCTCTCCAGCCCATCCCCAGTCTAATGGACAAGTCGAGGCCGTTGAACAAAATAATCAAGCGCACTCTGAAAACTAGCTTGGACAAAGCTAAAGGTTGTTTGCCAGAATTCGTACCCCAAGTTCTTTGGTCATACCGCACTTCATATCGGATTTCCACAGGAGAAACTTCATTCTCACTTGCCTTTGGTACAGGAAGCAGTTGTACCGGTTCAGCTTGAGCAAGAAACATACCGAATCCAGAACTACATGCAGAGTGAGAACGACAAACAACTCACCCTCAACCTGGATCTAGTCGAGGAACACAGAAATCAGGCTCACCTGAGGAATGTCGCCTACAAGCAGCGCATCTCCAACTATTACGACTCAAGGGTCAAACCTCGCTCTTTCAAAGTGGGAGACTGGGTACTGAAGAAAAGATTACTCTGTGATATAGTCCCGCGTGAAGGAACACTCAGTCCTAACTGGGACGGACCGTTCGAGGTCGTCGGCATCAATCGCCCTAGCTCTTACAAGCTCAGAAGCTCCGACGGCAAGACCCTTATCCATCCATGGAATGCTGACCACTTGAAGTACTATTACAAATAGACTCACATTGTACAAGTGTTAAGCTACAGTCGTTCGACATCCTATGTAACAAAGACCATTTGGTATGAATTCAATAAAGAGGTGATTTAGCCAACTCGACCCTAAACTCTTTTACATTCTGAGTAATGAAACACTCAAGTGTTGAAGCTTCAACGCAAATGTTTCCAATACAAAATAAAATCTAAATATGTGTCAACAAGACTATACAAATGATCTATGCAAATATAGCCAAACATTCATCAATGATAGGGCAAACACTTAAAGCTTGATAATGCAAACACTTAAAGCTTCATAATACAAACACTTGCTTGATAATGCAAACACTCATAAACATGCAAAACAAAAGAAAAACTCTCAGGCTTATAACATGGCACATGTCATACAAACAACAAACTAGTGCAGGTAGAGTACATGCAGAAAGTGAAAGCACTTCTAGTCATCCTCATCTGAGGTTGAACCCCTGATCATATCACTATGAGTCATACCGCCATTTTCTGCATTTTCAAACTCATTATCACCCTGATGACTCTGCTCATCAACACTAGCATCATCGCCAGACTCATCTGCACTGCTAGAATAAACTGCAAGGTCGAAGGTCTCACCTTTTCAATGATGCTCATCTATTTCTTCACGGTATTTTCGAAGAACGCTTCCATCATCATAACGATCAAGGACAGCCATCCACTTTCTTTTTTCAAAGTGAACTTCCCGGGTACAGCGAGGTCTAAGTACATGGAGAAAGGCCTGGGAACCCAAGAACTCCTTCACAGCAGCTTCATTCTCAGTCGGGATACTACTCTTCAGCTCAGAAACCTCAACCAATGTACTATCCAACTCCCATTTAACCTTGGAAACCTCGAGTATAATTGTCTCCAACTGTACCTTGAGTCTCAAGTTCTCACCATTCCGCCTCTTCAAACTCTCAAAATGTTGATCCTTGACTTGGATGGCCTCAGCCAAAGCTTTGCTCGTCTTCCTGGCATCATTCACAAACTGCTTATTCTCTTTCAATTTCATCTTGCACCGCTCAACCTCTCGCAGTCTGTCGTGACTCAACCATGACCTGCATGACAAGACGATCATCGCTACCAAAATAATGCTAATAAAGAGAAGAAAACAAGGAAATGACAAAGTAACACTCACATATGAAGACAGCTTCAACATCCGGTCGCAATTCGATTCATCTTTAGCTAAGGGCTCTCCAAGCTCATTGAAAGTGAATCGACGTCCTGCCAGTCAATTGTTGATATACCTAAAGTCCTTTGGCCACATGGCAAACTTCAAATCCTTCCAAATGACATTATCAACCTCTTCCTTATCTTTACCCTCGCTGCTAGAACTAGGATCACCTTTCTGCCCAATGTGCTCCCTAACTGGAGGAAAGATAGGATTGATAGTAGGAAGAGGAAGCAGCAATCGCATATCTTCCCCGGCAACTATGGCAGCAGCACATCCAATGGCCTCAGCTTCAGCTTTCTTTGAGGCAGCAACCTTGAGGACTTCTTCTCGAGACTTAGTTTTAATGATTGGTCTCACTCGGTGCTTGCGAGCTTCCTTGTGAAACAAGATGTCTTCTGAAGGAACTAACATGGGCACTCTCATTTTCTTGGTGCTAGTCTCCACTTTCTTGCCCACCTTCTCCACTGAACAAGGAAAATCAAAGTAAGGAATACCACATTATATATCTATATAAAAAAAGAAAAAAAAATAGGGAAGAACAAGGATCAAGTGAAGGATACAACTTACTCGCTCGTCTCTGGCACTCGGAAACTAAGGGCTGGAAACCGTACTTTCGAAACAAGGGTCGTAGCTTACCCAAGTGTCTATCTTCTTTGGGCACCCTCAGCATTTTCTCTACATCAGCTAGCTCCTGTCCGGAGAGTTTGATGGTGCCTCGTGTCACTGCATGAAGAAAAATCTTAGAAGCAAGAGAAAATCACAATAGCAAATAATGAGAAAATGGATACATTATAACCTCAAGTCTGGAAGTGAGTAGGAACACGTCGCTCAGGCGTGACACCCTTATTATGCTCCCATGGAAACTTATCATTCTTATATATAGTTCAACATGGCTATTGACATTCAAAATTCAAATTCAAATCATGAGAAAGCCCTACATGGAAAATCTTCAAACTTCTAACACTAAGGAGTTTCAAATTTCAAATGTTTCAGTTCCCCCCTTAAAAAAAAAAAAAAAAAGGAAGGGGGAACACAGCAGCTTCATCAATATGATTCAACTACCAATCTCAAAAACTTCGCACTATCTTGATGAAGATAGTGCGAAGCACAATCAATTTATGGTGCCAACAAAAGCTTCATCAATGGAGGACAAATATCAATCTCAAAAGCTTCGCACTATCTTCATCAAGATAGTGTGAAGCAAAATCAATTTATGATGCCAACAAAAGCTTCAACCCCAAAACTTCACCTATAAAGCTTTAACACCAAAAGCTTCACCTATAAAGCTTCAACCCTTTAACACCAAAAACTTCACCTATAAAGCTTCAATCCTTCAACACCAAAGCTTCACCTATAAAGCTTCAAACACAAAGATTCACCTACAATACAAAATTTCAACAACAAAACATATAAAAGTTTCACTCTTCATCAAGATAGTGCGAAGCTAATTCAAGTTTTGTGTCCTAAAAATAGCTTCAACTAGTCACGCTATATACCCAAACAAAAATCTATAGTCAATAAACCTTACCTATTAAACTATTTTCCAAACACAAAACCTTGTGGCAAATAAACAAATTTTGTTCACAAAACCAAGATTCTCTTGAACTTGTACAACAACACATGACTAAACACAAACATTTTTTGTTTTACATCCGCAATATCCCTATCATAAACAGACATACAATTATATAAAATCCAACCTAAGCAGCCTTTTTCTCCATCTCCCTCTTCCGCCTCTTTCTATCTATCAAATTTCTGCAACTCCTGCTCTTCCTCAGTGGAGCTGAATTTTGGACATCTTATAGTTTTTGAGCAGATGAACAACTTTCACGAAGGAAATGTTTCTATTTGAGCGACGGAAGTTAGAGTTGAAGCTCCAAACATGATGGTCAGATTTCTGCAAGCTTTAAAGCTACTGCGGTGTTTCGAAGATCTGGAAATATTCAACCGTTAGTTTGTTCTGAATTTTTGATATGTTATGGAAGAGATGATGAGGAACAACTTCGATAAAGAAAGTATGTTGATCTGAACAAGAGAAAATGAAGTTTCGAAGCTCACAATAAGTCTGGCGAATTAACAGAAAAATGATGAACAGCTACTCTTCATACCTAACTTTCTGAATTTGTACTACTTCGATGGATCTCAAATTTGGATATGTTGTAGTTCACAAGGTGAGGAACAACTTCGATGAAGAAAGTATGTTGATCTGAACAAGAGAAAATGAAGTTTCGAAGCTCATAATAAGTCTGACGGGTTAACAGAAAAATGATGAACAGTTACTCATCATACCTGAATATCTGGAGTTGTACTACTCCGATGGATCTCAAATTTGGATATGTTGTAGTTCACAAGCTAAGGAACAATTTTCATGAAGAAAATCTTGCGATTTGAGCTACAGAGAATGGTGTTATATTGAAGAGCTACCGCTCTCTCTACGTTAACTCCCTCATTCACTTCCTTGGCTCAAACACCCACATTTCTTTCAACATGGCTTTGGAATAATTCAGATTTTTAGTGGAAATGAAAACTTTTCCAACAAAGAAAGGAAAAGGCAAAGCAAAAGAAAAGCTAAATGCCACAAAAAGTGACGGACAAAAGGAATAAATGAACAATGCCATATTGAGAACAGTCCAGGGAAATGGGGAAGAAGACACAGGCAAAGGGATGAGACATTGTTATTATTTCTCTACCTCCCAACATGAAGCAAGAACCCGCCAAGTTGAATCATTGGCGGCTGAAGTGATAAGTCTCAAACAGGAGATTAGAGGGCTCAAGCATGAGAATAAACAGTTGCACAGGCTCGCGCATGACTATGCTACAAACATGAAGAGGAAGCTTGACCAGATGCAGGAATCTGATGGTCAGGCTTTGCTTGATCATCAAAGGTTTGTGGGTTTGTTCCAAAGGAATTTATTGCCTTCGTCTTATGGGGCTGTACCGCACAATGAAGCTCCAAATGATCAACCTCCAATGCCTCCTCCTTCTGGGGTTCTGTCCAGTACTGAGACTCCGGATAACCACACTCCGGTGCTTTCTCTTTATAGGGCTTTACCGACTGCTGAGACTTCTCCTAAGCAACATTTATAAAGGCTCCCTCTTGTTTGTTTATTTTGACTCATGTATATGTACATATTTGTAGCTTATCGGAAATATTAATAAATAAGTTTTGCTTCATTTCAACGTATTGTGTTAAATACACCAAAACCTTCTTCAAAAAGTTCTTTGAATTTTTTCTTTTGTTGAAACTTGTATTGTTGAAGCTTTGTGAGTGAAGCATGTAGTTTGAGGTAGTGTTCCCTTAATTTCCCTAGTGAGGAAAACTTCTCGGTTGGAGACTTGAAAAATCCAAGTCACTGAGTGGTTGTGAGACTTCCGAGTATCAAGGTGCAGTAGCATATGGTGGGAGTCTCCCAAGTCTTCAGGCGAGGAGAGTTGCCGAATGAGGTGTCTTACTTGCTACCAATTTGTCAAAGTAACGAAGCCTTGTTTTGATGTCACACCTTCATATATGCCTTATCCAAAAATATTTCAAGCTAGTTTTAGCTTTGCGAGGGCCCAAAATTTTTGTGTAGCCCAAAACTGCTCATTTGTTTTCAAGCCCACGAAAAGAGGGGATCCAGTGCCTTTGTTCATTTTTTATTTGGTTGGCAAGCCTAAAGAGGAGAAGAGGTTTGTGCCCACTCCCCTTTATTTTATTTTTTTGTGAAGCCCAATGATTTCTTGCTTCATGTTGGGAGGTAGAGAAATAATAACAATGAGACTCAAAGTCTCATCCATTTGCCTGTGTCTTTTTTCCCATTTCCCTGGACTGTTCTCAATATGGCACTGTTAATTTATTCCTTTTGTCCGTCACTTTTTATGGCCTTTAGCTTTTCTTTTGCTTTACCTTTTCCTTTCTTTGCTGGAAAGATTTTCATTTCCACTAAAAATCTGAATTATTCCAAAGCCATGTTGAAGGAAATGTGGGTGTTGGAGCCAAGGAAGTGAATGAGGGAGTTAACGTAGAGGGAGCGGTAGCTCTTCAATATAACACCATTCTCTGTAGCTCAAATCGCAAGGTTGTCTTCATGAAAATTGTTCCTTAACTTGTGAACTACAACATATCCAAATTTGAGATCCATCGGAGTAGTACAATTCTAGATATTCAGGTATGATGAGTAACTGTTCATCATTTTTCTGTTAACCCGTCAGACTTATTGTGAGCTTCGAAACTTCATTTTCTCTTGTTCAGATCAACATACTTTCTTCATCGAAGTTGTTCCTCACCTTGTGAACTACAACATATCCAAATTTGAGATCCATCGGAGAAGTACAACTCCAGATATTCAGGTATGATGAGTAATTGTTCATCATTTTTCTGTTAACCCGTCAGACTTATTGTGAGCTTCGAAACTTCATTTTCTTTTGTTCAGATCAACATATTTTCTTCATCGAAATTGTTCCTCATTATCTCTTCCATAACATATCAAAAATTCAGAACAAACTAACGGTTGAATATTTCCATATCTTCGAAACACCGCAGCAGCTTTGAAGCTTGCAAAAATCTGACTGTCATGTTTGGAGCTTCAATACTCTAACTTCCGTCGCTCAAATAGAAACATTTCCTTCGTGAAAGTTGTTCATCTGCTCAAGAACTATAAGATGTCCAAAATTCAGCTCCACTGAGGAATAGCAGGAGTTGCAGAAATTTGATAGATGGAAAGAGGTGGAAGAGGGAGAGGGAGAAAAAGGTTGCTTAGGTTGGATTTTATATAATTGTATGTCTGTTTATGATAGGGATATTGCGGATATAAAACAAAAAATGTTTGTGTTTACTCATGTGTTGTTGTACGAGTTCAAGAGAATCTTGGTTTTGTGAACAAAATTTGTTTATTTGCCACAAGGTTTTGTGTTTGGAAAATAGTTTAATAGGTAAGGTTTATTGACTATATATTTTTGTTTGGGTATATAGCGTGACTAGTTGAAGCTATTTTTAGGACACAAAACTTGAATTAGCTTCGCACTATCTTGATGAAGAGTGTGTGAAGCTTTTATATGTTTTGGTGTTGAAATGTTGTATTGTAGGTGAAGATTTGTGTTTGAAACTTTATAGGTGAAACTTTGGGATTGAAGCTTTATAGGTAAAGCTTTGGTGTTGAAGCTTTATAGGTGAAGCTTTGGTGTTGAAGGGTTGAAGCTTTATAGGTGAAGCTTTTGGTGTTAAAGGGTTGAAGCTTTATAGGTGAAGCTTTTGGTGTTAAAGCTTTAAAGGTGAAGCTTTGGGGTTGAAGCTTTTGTTGGCACCATAAATTGATTTTGCTTCACACTATCTTGATGAAGATAGTGCGAATCTTTTGAGATTGATATTTGTCCTCCATTGATGAAGCTTTTGTTGGCACCATAAATTGATTGTGCTTCGCATTATCTTCATCAAGATAGTGCGAAGTTTTTGAGATTGGTAGTTGAATCCCATTGATGAAGCTGCTGTGTTCCCCCTTCCCTTTTTTTTTTTTTTTTTTTAAGGGGGAACTGAAACATTTGAAATTTGAAACTCCCTAGTGTTAGAAGTTTGAAGATTTTCCATGTGGGGCTTTCTCATGGTTTGAAAGAGCGAGGTTTGACCCTTGAGTCGTAGTAGTTGGAGATGCGCTGCTTGTAGGCGACATTCCTCAAGTGAGCCTGATTTCTGTATTCCTCGACTAGATCCAGGTTGAGGGTGAGTTGTTTGTCGTTCTCACTCTGCATGTAGTTCTGGATTTGGTATGTTGCTTGCTCAAGCTCAACCGGGACAACTGCTTCTTGTTGATGTTGAACTTAGAGCAGAACATCCTGAACTTCTTGTTGTCGAACTGCCGCCCATTGTCCATGACTATCGCATTGGGAATGCCGAATCTGCAGAGGATATTCTTCCATACGAAGTCTTCTATTTTTGCCTCAGTAATGGTTGCCAAGGGTTCTACTTCAGCCCACTTTGTGAAGTAGTCAACTGCAACGATTGCATAGCAGACCTTGCCCTTCCCTGCAGGCATTGGGCCAATCAAATCAAGTCCCCATTGGGCGAATGGCCAAGGCTGATCATAGGAGTGAGCGGCTCGAGAGGGGAGTGAGGGATAGTTGCGTAGTGTTCACATGAGCGAGATATTCTGATGGCATCT